CACCAAGGCGAAGGAACGCTGTTCGGTGCAGTTATTATTATTATTATTAGAATTTTTCACTCCTTTAATCCATGATATCCATTTTCTTATTTACCGATGCGAGAAACACCCTAACGTATAGTAGAACCAAATAGCAATTCAAAAAAATATTAATATTTTTTCTAATAAAACGAAGTGGTTTACGTGTGAATTCAATTATATTTTTCAAATGTAATCATTTTTTAAACTTTTAAATAATAAATCATAAAATTAAAAACGCAGTAATTCTTAAAAAAGCTACAGTGGTAATATAGTTGAAAATGATTTTTTTTTTCAAGTGTTTACTATTTTTGTTGATGTGCCTGTGTTTTGAATTTATTTGTTTATCATTTTTTAGTATATTCAGTATATATACTTGATGAACACAAACAATTTTCTTAATTAAAAGGAAAAATTTTTTAACAGTACTTGTTCAAAAGTAAATTACAAAAACTAAATTTTAATTAATTTACACGCTCCTTCATTGAATATGTTCAAATATTCCATTAGAATCAAATAACAAGATGAAAATATGATTATTTTTGATATTTTATTCTAAATTTAAATTTGAACAAAGCGACGTGAATTTTATTGAATACATCTTTTCGCTACCTAATAGCTATTAAATTGATTAACAATAGATCAACAACAATTTTTAGTGTTCAAAATGTTTAAAATAAATTTCACTTTCGGTTATACAGAAATTGGCTTTACTCTTAAAACAATCCAAAGTACATTACAAGACAACAAGGCTATTTGCCTCCCAATCCGAATTTCATGAAAATCAGTTCTTTGCCTTTGGATAGAATATCACCACCCGGAGCTGTAATGTCACCTAAAACAATATAAAGAAAAAATATAATGCAATTAATTCGTAATTTACCAACGTTAACGAATAAATTATAAGAATTTAACTTTTCAATAGTTTTAGCAGACCCTTTTTTTCAATTTTGCTTGATCAAGGTTTAAAATCTGTTTCGGTTTTTGTGTCACGACTCAAGCAATGTAACGACTATCAACTTGAAACCTTTTTTTTTAAGATTCCTGACCAGTAAAGTACCCAAAGCTACCATCACTTACAATGGCAAATAATGTAAAAAACTGCATGATGGCGCCATCTCTATGTGCTCATGAAAATTAGAACAAAAAGTTTGTGTAGAATGTTAATTGTTTGAAGTTTGAATACGGAATCATTTGTTGTGACGTCTGTCATTTTACGCTCGATAAAGATATACCGTGTAAATTGAACAAAAACCGATTTATTATTTGTATTTAGTGAATTTGTGATGGAAAATAAATTGAAATTACTTTGCACAGTTTGTGTCATCAAAATTAACTGCGAGGACGTTGCATATCACATGGTTTTTCTTCACACAAAATCAGTTGACATTTTTGACTTTTTCGCACCAAAAAAAAAATGTTTTAATTGCCTTTGGTGCTCGTTTGGATCGCGAGTTCAATGCCAAGCACATAGAGATGTCGCTCGGAACGTGAAGCTCAAAAAAAATATACAGGTGATATAGAAAGCAAGTGAGGGTAGACCCAAAGAGTTACTAAAAGTTTTAAAATTCCTTAGTACAGATCGATGTAAAGTGCCGAAAAAATAAGTTTGTGAAAATATAGTACATAGTATAGTTAGTAGGTGCAATCGCAGGGGAGCCCACCATGTCAAAATTTCGTCGGATCAAAAATCAATGTACTACAAAGTGGTTCTCATTAATCTTTTCAATTTTTGATACTTCGAAACCGTGGTGACATCTCAGTTTATATTTTTTTCGCAAAAAAACGCTTGATTCGTGATCAGGGGATCTCATAGCCAAGGCACTCCCGTTAAAATGTTTACACATTAATTTCAGACAAATATTGATCATTCTTGATCATGTAACCTTTAATTTTCATTATTTTTTGTTTAAAAATAAATAATTTGAAAATCGGAATTTGGCTTACACTCTCCAGCAAGTCACTTTCGAGTATCTTATTTTTAATTTAATGACTGCACCGTACAGCGTTCATTCGCCTGGTGGTTTATTTAAACAATAAATATATTTTAGTTACAATATTAAATTTCTTTTAGATAATAATTTTAGTTATGTAATTGATTAATAATTTTGGTAGCTTCACAATTATTCTCTATTCTGTTTTAAATAATTCTCAATTCTTTGCTTAATTATTTTTAGATTTACATTTAATTCAATTAATTTAATATCACTGTTTCTTAATGTTTTGCTATAGAATTCATTGAAAGTAGTAAGCATGTAATTAATTGGTTCATATAATGTGTAATCATTTCTCCTAATTGGAATTTTAAACAATGGTGGCAAGCGTGTATTGTGTTGTGGTATATAATATTCCATACAACTCGAAATATGATTTGATGTCAAATCTCCATTGATTATGCTGAAGATAAATGATATTTGAGCTATTTTACGTCTCTCTTCAAGCGTTATCATTTGTAAAAATAGTAAACGATGTTCATATTTCGGCAATTTGAAACTGTTCCATTCCATCCTTCTGAGCGCGTATAATAAAAATTGCTTTTGTATTGATTCAATTCTTATGGTTGTATTTTTGTGATGTGGATTCCAAATTTGAGAATCATATTCGATGATTGGTAAAACAAACGCATTGTAAAGGCGTTTTATGGTCCAGGGGTCATCAAACTCTCTTCCAAAAATTTTAATCCAAGCCAAACGTGACTTTGCTTTTGCCACTATGCATTCAATGTGTGATTTGAAATTCAATTTTTCATCCAGCAGTACACCCAGATCCTTGATTACATTTACTCTCTCAATTATTTCGTCGCCAATTTTATATTCATAAATAAATTTTAATGAATGATGGTACGAAATCATTTTTGTTTTGTTTACGTTCAATTTTAGTTGATTCCTTTCAAAATAATCAACTACAAGATTCAAATTATTCTGTAATATGTCACAATCACTATATGATCTGATGCACTTCGACAGTTTTGTGTCATCCGCAAATGATGACAAACGGCAAATCGATGACAAACATGATGAACAATGTTGCTCCTATGGGGTAACCTTGGCCCGTTCCAGAAGTAACTTCTATTGGCTTTGATTTTGAATCATTGATCTTGACTATTTGTTTTCTTCCAGACAAATACGATTCGATCCATTTTAGCAATTGCTTGTTTAAACCCATGATGTCTAGCTTTTTAATTAATAGTTTTACGCTTACTGAATCAAAAGCTTTAGCGATGTCCAAATAGATGCTGTCGGTTTGATAGCCGTTTCCAATATTATTTAGCGCTTTCGATGTGAGTTCTGCCAAATTTGTAACAGTTGATCTCCCTTTGATGAATCCATGCTGGCTGTCGTCGATGATCGTCTTTAAATAGTTGTTAATGTGACTTGTTACAATTGAATCGAGTAATTTTGAAATTATGCATTGCAAAGCGACTCCACGATAATTTTCTACTTTGTTTCTGTTACCACTTTTATAAACTGGTCGCACGAATGATGTTTTCCATATCTGCGGTATACAATTTGATTGAAGTGACTCTCTCAGCAAAATTGTTATTGGATATAATAGTGATGGTAAACAATTCTTAATGAATATATTTGGAATACCATCTGGACCAGAGACAAGATCTAATGGCAATTCTGAAATTTTCTCGCTTACTAAATCGTCTGTGATGTTAATTTCTGGAATCGCTGCACAAATGTTTTGCAATCTCACTGCGTCACTAATGTCGTATTTATTTTCTTCATTGTGTTGACTGTAAGCAGTTGAAAAGTGAGTGGCAAACATTTCGACAATTTGCTGTCGATCTTCGGCCTTGTTACCATTGTACTCCATTTCTGCTGGCAATTCATCGCTTCTGTTCTTTTTTGATTGACGAAATTGAAAAATATCTTTGGATCTTCGTTGATTAACTGCTCCATCTGTAATTTGTACCCCTTGTATGTTGATCGCGCATTTTGTTTGTACAAGCGACGGGCATCGATGTAAATCCTCTTTGTTTCTGCTGAACTGTTTTTCTTCATTTGACGATGTAATTTGTTGACATCTCTCTTTTGGTTCAGTAATGATTTGTCAAACCATTTTGGAATATTTGAATACTTCATTACTTTTCTATTGATATTCGACGAAACGACATTGCTAATTTCATAATAAAATGAATCAAGTTTTTCTTCAAGAGATGGCCTATTTAAAATGGAATCCCAATTCTTTTCCACAAGTTGATCATTTATTTCAACGTATTCAGCGTTCTTGTAATCAAAGAAAATATTATTTGACTTTGGCTGATGTTGAATGTATTCATGAATATTGATTTCAAACGATGGATGATGTGACTCAACATTCATCAAATGATCCTCGCTAGCATTGCACGAGAAAACATCAATCTCATTCGTCCATATCAAATCCAACATATGACCATTCTGATTGTATTGTTTATTGATTTGATATAAGCCCATTTCATAGCACGTATCGAGAACGACTATTTCTTTTCTACTCGTTGGGTTGATGGCAATGGCAATATCTGGATCAATAGTTTCATCGACAAACCAAACTAAGTTCGGCAAGTTGAAATCTCCAGAAATGAGAAGCACATCGTCTGGCTTGAGCGATGTAGCAATTTCTCTTATTGCATTCATATTGTCAACATATACTTCGTATGGTGAATCTGGA